ATACCAACCATCCTTGAATGATACTCTATCCATGTAAAAAAAATTTAATCCGATATCTCAAAAATTGCGGAAGTTAGAGGTTGTACAATATATTGCGTACATACATACATACATACACACATACACACATACATACATACATACAGACATTTTTTAGGAATAAGATTTTTCGACGTTTTGGAACACTCTAAACACATCGGCATAGAAAACTCGAAAAAAAATTTTGCCACGAAAACAAAGCTTTCTCTATGAGGAAGCAAAAAATTAGGGAACATTTTTCATACTCTAGAAATTGAGCTACACATATTTTCAAATCGCTGAAACTCAGTGAAAAATCATTAAACAAAAAATTTTAAAAACATTTTAAAGCTTGAAGTTTTAACTTTAACGCTTTATCGGTAGTTTTTTAATTTTTTTTGTTTTGTGTGCTTTAAAAAAAAAACATACTATCTTATTTCTTAAAATTACGTATGTTTGACATTCTGCAGCTCGATAAGAAAATTTCTCTCGAGAAATTTAAGTCAAGTTCTATAAACGACATATATCTTTCCTACAAAATACTTTTCTTTTAATTTTCCTATTAATTTTTTCTTTGATCAAATTAGATGACTTTGAAAGAAAGCCTGTATTTTTTAGAAATGTTGTCGATACTCGGTGAAATAGTATCGCAAACAAAAAATTAAAAGAGCATTTTGAAGCTTGAAGTTTCAGCTTTGATGTGACACTGATAATTTTTAAAAATGTTTTACCTCTCTTATCTTTAAAAAATACAAGTTTAATTACAAAATTGTGTAACTCGGTCAAAAAAAAAAAGACGTAAAAAGATTTTTAAAAAGTTTTGTAGGCAAAATGTTGTAATTTATGGAAGTTGATTTAAATTTTTGTAGAATGATTTATGGAGCTACATAGTATCAAAAATACGTAATTTTTAGCAACAAAACAATATGTTCTTTTCTTAAAGCACAGAACAAGAAAGATAAAAAAATTCTAAAAAACAACCGATAGCGCGTTAAAATTCAAGAAATTTCAAGCTTCAAAATGCTTTTTTAATTTTTTGTTTAATGGTAATTTTTCGCCAAATTTTAGTGATTTGAAAATCGCCCAACTTTTAGTTTATTAAAAGTGTTTTCTATTTTTTTTTGGAGTGGTGTATATTTTTTTAAAGATTATGTAAGTAAAAAAAAAAGAAGAAAAAAAAGAATGACACAAAAAAGATGTTGCTTATAAATAATCATCTCTTTCTTCTATCAGAAATGCAGATCCATCGATTATTATGTAATATTGTTAGTAGAGATGTTGGTAAAAAAATATGTTGGCAAAAATATCATAACAAGATAGCATTAACACATCATTGATACAAGAATATCTAAATACAGACCATTTCTTATTGTCATTATATCTCTTGCTTTCCGAATTTGTGAAACGATTGCATGTTTCCTTTTCGTAGCGCGCGATTTTCAATGCCGTAGAGATGGATAAGCAAATGCTACTAATGATGCAGATACATTTGAGCCCGAAAAAATACAACACAAACGTTCCCTTCCCTGCAAGCATAACATGTAAAGAATTTTTATACTATCTCTCATAGTATATTAAAATGCGGTATTAATAGAATTATTTGTCAGAGACGTCCATTCACCATCAAACCAGCAATCTCCTTTGCGAAATCCCGGTCGCATAATCTCCGGCAAATCTTCGGAAACATAATCCATAATAACACTGATAATAGCAAAGATAAATGGTAAACCGTACGCAAAGATCGCGTAAAACCCCAACTTTCTCTTTTCTCGTTGTTTTACGTTTCTTTGTAATGAACTGAATCCTCTGCAAAACGAAATTTTTACATCATATTTACCCAAAAATAGAAAAAAAATTACGATGTAAATGCACATTAAAATAATGTTTGTTTTTAATCGAAACTTTCTCGAAAATCCGTTCTACAAAAATAGATTACATAATACGACAAACCACACGACTAAACTATCATGAAAAATGGCTTAATATTTGTATCACAATCAGAAACTATCATATATTTATATAATGTACAGACACGACAATGGTAATCTTAATTTTAATTAAGTTGCAAATTTTTGATAAAAAAAAATTTAAAATCTATTATTATTCAAAAGTTATCGTAATATATATTATGTATTGCCTTATTGTTGCACATGAAAGAGAAAATAATTCAAATATTAAGTTTATAAAATAAAAAAATTTTTTTTTAAATTCAAGGAAGGTTTATTACGTTATACATATTGTGAATTATTATAGATCAGGTAATAATATTTTACAAACATTTCATAATGTTCATTAACTAATATGTCACTTTTGCTTTCAAAAATTTAATTGGATTTTACAAAATAAAAACTAATAAATAAAAAATTAAAAAACTAACTAATCGTTTGTAATCCTTCATGCAATAACAGAAATCTTCCAAAAAACAGTTTATTTGAAATCATAATTATTATATTTAAACTCTAAACTTATAGTATCATAAGCCAAGTAGTTGTTTACATAATCACACAACAATATAACACGAGAAAAGATTCTGTTTGATTAATTTAAACGTTGTATCATTCCTCCCGTTTTTGTTTTTACATATTGATATATAATATAATATAAAACACTTTTATATGTTACGTAAATTTATATTGTCGCATTATGTTATACAATATAAATCAATTCTACTAAAAGTAAATTAAGATGAAGCAAATTAAACATATAAAGTAAATATAATATAATGTATAGTGTAACATGAAAAACTTGACAACTTACCTAAATGTCCACCACGTGTCAAAACTCATTATATTTAGCCAGAAAAGGCTTATTAAAAAACAAAAGTAGATGAAAAAGGCTGTAAAAATGGAATAAAGAATATTTTAATCATTGAGCGCCTATTAAAACGCAGATCGGACTCATAGTTATCATTTTGTTTCTTCGTTAAAAAATAGATTTATTCTAAGTTTCTGCACTAAAATTTTATAGCCATATTAACATATTAGATAAATGCGTACTGATATTAAATTAAATAATATTTCAATTCAAAAGATAACTCTGCAAAATTTTAAAATACAAAAAAATATATTTATGGAGGCCAACTTTATATAGCTTGATTATTTAAAATCATATATATTAAAGTTATATATATTAGAGTGTATACCTAAAATTCAGATTTTACTTGCTATTAATTCTTGCATTTTTAAGATTTTAATAAATTATATATATATTCAAGTTATTAAAAAGAATAATTAATATGCGAATATACACTAGTACTAGTATGTCTGATAAATATATACGCTACACTGATTGCATAGTTATATGATTTAGATATACTATACCGATTGTAACACAGGCGGAATAATGTATAGCATCCGCTTTGATTAGAACATTAACAATATCAATTGTGTATGCGACAGTCATTGCACCGCTGTAATTGCGCAACATGAAGCCATGTACGTTTCGGAGCTCTGGCAATATGGAGTACACTACAAATATTGACATCAAAAATGGTATAGACACTATATTAGAGTACACATGTAGAATTTGTGCATTTTTCACATAATTATCGTCTTTAGTCGACGAGTTATTAGATTGCATTCTGAAGATCTCGTTAGAAGTCTCTAAGCAGGTGATCACTTCGTATTTATTCCCATCGTCCACGATGGCGAGACAGTATGATGTCGATTTCGCAAATATTTTAAAATAAGATAAATAGAGAGAACCATTGGCAAAGAACATGTAATCGTACTGATAACCATAAGGAAGCAGGGAACGTTCTTCATTCTGGCATGGATCGTAGACGACTAGCTGAAACAATTCGCCCACCGTTTTATTTTCGCTCTGCATCGAATCGTTCGTGTATCCGTACACATGCGGTAAGATGTATTTATTTCCTTCAGAAAGGCATTCATTATCAACCAGACGATCACCGAGAGGACAGCATAGCTGAATGCAAGTAATATTGTAACATTTTTCGTATGGAATGATGTTACTTATATCGCTATCTTTACTGGAGTTTTCAAAGGATTCGTGTGATGTAGAATCGTTCCTCTCTTCATTTCTCAAGTTTTCATAAATTTCCTGTGACGAGAAGTTGCTTTCATGGTTGACATTTCTTGAATTGCGAGGTTCCATTGATGACGAAGCAACGAGAAAAAAAAGCGCGCAATACCAAAACGCCAAATTTTTTTCACACATCGTTGACTTTTTGATGCGCCGAATTTATACCTGGAAAATACATATTTGATTTTTTTTCTGACAGTAATTTTATACTTAGGTATTCAATCGCGACGATATGCAAACTGCGGCTGGAAAAATATACTAATATTGTTAATCTGCCATGGTTTGATCGTGGCAACTTATTTTTGTCCCAGTCCTCAAGATCGAAGAAGCCGAGGGGCTATTCATTCAGGAAATCATTGAAGCACTCCGGTATAAAATCAAAATCGACATCACGAGAAATCGGTTAAAATTGGAAAAAAATCTTTCAAGATCGAAGTCACGAAAATATCATTGAAATAACTTGAAATCAGAATGAAATCTCTGAACTTTTGAAATCAGTATGAAATCACGTAGAATCAGAAATGATTTCAAAAATCACTGATCGGATCGTATGAAATCACATTAAATCACATGGTTTTCTAATTGCTTGAAGTATTCATGAAATCAATAAAATCATTTGAAATCGACTTCAATCTGAAATCATTTGTTCATCGCATTCACTAGTGCATAGCCCCTTGGAAGAAGCTGCTTTTATTTCGAAGGATCTATTCTCGCGAATGCATGTCAGGAAGTGAATTGATGTCGATAGAACAGCACTTTGATAAAACAAATTACGTAAGGGTCAAAACGGTGATGTCATAATAGGAGCAATTGTTAAGCTCTTTTATGTGAATGGTATTGGTTTTTTTTTTTTAGAACCTATAATTTAAAAAATGAATGACATGCATGAATGTTTGATTTTTATATTTGATTTTAAAAGCTTTTAATAGTTTTATATTTTAACACATACATGTATATACAATATAAATATATACATATAGATTTTGCCTTGTAATAATCAAAATTAGTCATTACGCCTAAATCTGCGAGAAATATTTATTTTTCACTCTTATAATTATCGATTTCTTTAAACCCTCCACATATGTCCATTTTGATATAATCAACAATTTAGGAACAATTTTTGAAAATCCAAGGATATAGAATAATAAACAAACCAATCGAGCTTCGTGTCACATAGGTTAATTTCATGTCCGAAATTTTGAATAAATAAAAAATTGTATGTTAAAATTATGCGTGCATTTGTTTTTATATCAGTTGCAAACATTTATTTTTATATAAGTTGCATGAAATAAATATAATTAAGTACAAGTATACAAATATGTAATAACAAGAAATTACCATTTTTCTTTCTTTTTCGGCGAAATCTCCTAAGATTGATCCGGTTTTATTCTGTTATCGTTGATAATATTATGATAGATTTTAGTTATCTTACTAGATTCAATAAAACTTTCTCTACTATTGCATCCGATTTCAACTTCTCTTTTCGAGTCGAACGAAAAAAGAACATGCCCGCACAAACGAGAAGATGCGACTACCGAGGACGACGAGTCGTCGATAGTTTTGAGCAAACAGTCTATCTACTACTATAAAACTATATACATAAAACAAATACATATACAAGATAAAATTCCATTAGCATACTTTTCCAGACGGCCAAGCAGCGAAATAAAGTAAACTGTTGACTGTCTTTCTTTTTAGATATTTAATGCTTAAATGAGAAAAGAGCCATTATATTTTTTTAAATACCACTAAAGTGGAAAATATGTATATTGATTCGCAGCAACAGCCAAATGACATGAATTTTTAGCTATATTATTTTGTAAATTTATATTACATTTAAATTTTAGTTATTTAATTATTCAGCAGAAAATTTTTTTTTTGAAAGCAGTTGTAATCGATAACACATGCTTAAGTAAAATTTTATTTTACTAAAAATTTATCAATCTTATTCATTATCTTTAAACTACAAAAAAATATTGGGTGGAGTTCCGAATAGGTGAACCCTCCGATTTTTTTGAAACTACACTATTTTTTGTATTTTTGAACGCTGATTACGAATATGATAATGAAAATTTGCGACAAGGTCATTTTCAAGGTCAAAACAAAAAAACTGAAAAAATATGATAGAGAGAAAGCAAGAGAGAGAACTTACTGTTATTCGCCATAACTTGTATTCCGCTTCGCTCAATATAATGATGTCTGCCAATATAAAAACCAGTTTGAACGTGAAGTTTTTCTCTTAAACAGTCATATCATGACTATTTATTTGATTGGAAATTAAAAATAGCGATAGGTCAGATGGTGTTGATCCGATTTAATTTCATACTCACTTTTGATTTTCGACGAGAAGAAGACATCTTCCGCAAAAGATTGCATTAAATTTCTTGAAATAACGTGAAATTAATATTAAAAATTATATTAGAGAAAGTTTATATGATTTTTGCATTATCGTTAATCTTAAAGATTAGACAATTCCACGTGCAAAAAATCGTACTCATATATGACTGATTTATATGATATTTTTGTTAGTTGGAAAATAAATATGGTAAAGTGTATCTATTTTGGAATATAATAATGTATATATATTTGTACTATATATTTTTTTCTATCGTGCTATTATAAGATAGAACATGCAGCTCAACGTAAAGTAAATTTTATATAATATTTAAACAGTTTGTTTAGACAAAAATAGAGGATGTAACAAAATAAATCAATTTATTGTGAGCATAAAAATAAAAATCTAAGATTTAAATTTGAATAATGTTATAATAATCTTATAATAATAAATTTTTATTAAAATTATAAAATAATTATTTACCTTACTAGAATTACGAACTTTTTATTGCAATCTATGGTATAAATAAATTAGTTTATTTTTATTTGATATATGTATAATAACATTGGCTTATTGTAATTTCATTTCAATTGTTTTTTATATATTTATACCTTGATATTTGTACCTTGATATTTGTACCTTTTTTCTAAGAGTAAAATCAGAATCATGAACCGAGAACATGTCGGCGCCATTGGAACCATCATCACTATCTTTGATATTCTATAAAAATAATGATTTATGTGCTGATGCGCGTCATGTGAAATATGGACATTTTCAAACCGGATCTTACGTAACATTTACTCAGCTATTAAGACATATTATACCATCTATAAAATAAGTTTAAAGAATAAATGAGATTTTCTTTCATCCGTATTTGATTAATCGTTTTTTGAAGTAAATTCTTCGATTGTATCATATACTTAATATAAGTAACAGATCTTTATTATTTGCCTCTTTTCTAATAATTATGTAAAATCGTAATTAATAATGTTGTCATGTTCAAATCAATAAACTAACGATATCATCAACTTTGCTTTCGCAATTCCGATAAAAACGAAACTAATATTGACTATGATCTGACAATAAATTTAATATAAAAAGAGAAAAACCATTTTTCTCCAAATAATTTTAAGCGTCCAAAAGTTGATAATGTTCCGAAAAGATCTCGCGTTTTGATTTCGCGCACTTGAATACGTTGCTTCGTCTTCCAAGCATCAGCTAAACTCCACAAGCAACGAAAAAATATATGACAATTTGGCGATACGATACGAGCTTGACGAGAATTCTATAACAACATATAGCGACGAAACGGAAACGTTGCGTTATGATTTGTACAAAAACAAGGATAGTTTGGAGGAGTATCAATTCGGACAGATTCGGATTCCATAAAAAATCATAAACAAACTCAACAAAAATCAACAGTAAGAAAAATTCCATGTCACAGGAAATCTATAGAAACTTGATGAGAATTAAAGGCAAAAATGATTCCACATCGTATAAGTTCTATAAAACTTCTAATGAAGGTGACGATAAATACAACATCGTTCCATATGAGATATGTGCCAATATTACTTGCACTCTACTCTGCTGTCCTCTTGGCAATCGCCTAATCGATGACGATTGCATCTTCTTAAAAAATAAAATTCTTTCTTTTTTTTTTGCCAAACATGTACGGATACTTGGACGATTTGTTGCAGAACGAAAATAAGAGGATAAACGAATTTTTTACCTAATAATTCACGATCCGTGCCGGAAGAATAAACACACTTTGCTTGATTCCAACTATAGAAACCATTCGAAATATATTCGAAATATATGTTTTTCACTAATGGTTCTCTGTATCTTCTTTATTATCATATATTCGTAAAATCAAAATCCTATTGTCTGTCTATCATGTATCAGAATAAGTTTGATAGTTTCTTTTTGCCGGGAATATTTCTGGTGCACATTATACTGCCAGAGCTTCGTAACACACACAGCGTCATACTGCGCAGATACAGCAGTTTGATGATTGCTGCACACATTCTTAATATTACGGGAAATCTAATCAAAAGAAGAAATCTGTCGCCTTTCTTCATCTGTGTTACAATTATATACTCAATAGTATACTCAAATCATATAACAATAAAATCAATGCAGCTCTTATAAGGCGTATTAGCATGCACTTGCGCATTAAATATTGTCTAATTATAAAACTTAAAATAAAATTAAACTTCTAATGATAAAACTTAAATGAAGTCCGAAATCTGAATTATTGTTATTTTGAAATCTTAAACATAGATTAACGCAAGAAAACATAGCTTTAATTTTCGAATAAAAAATATTGCTCATTAAAGATTGATTGTATTAGATGAAGCTTTTACATCACTTTTTACTTATCTGCAAGAAACTTATTTTCTCGCCAAGACCATATCTCCTGATATAGTAATGCAAGTGCTCGAAGATGTTGCATGCGTTATGCATCAAGCTTTTGAATCATCGATGATATTCCCGACGCGAATTTGCAAAACCAAACACGAATACAACGCTTTGATATGAAGACTGAATTATTAGTTGCATTTGAGAGCATCTCTATTGTCAATCTAAAGAATCGGAATAAGAATATTTCAGCCAAAGATGGGAGAGCTGCTCGTTCCGGTGATAATCAAAAAGCTAAGATCATTAAAGATGACAGTAAGGTGTTTTAATAGCAGACAGTTTGGACATTGAGCGAAAGAATGCAAACAAAAACCGAGAGAGAGAGAGAGAGAGAGAGAGAGAGAGAGAGAGAGGCTTGTTTGTGCGGCGAGACAGGACATGTTTTAAAAGAATGCCTTAAAAATGTAATATAATAATGTAATATATAAAACAAAAAATTATTAATTAAGTATGCAATAAAAATGTTACTCAGAAATCAACTAATAGTTCTTTTAATATAAAAATAAATTTAATTGATAAAAAATAATAATAAATAACATAAAAAAATGTTGATAAGCTTGAAAGAGTCGATAAATTCATGAGCCTACGTTATGTTAGGTAATTTTAAATCAGTTTACAATTTTTATACAGATCTTGTTTTGTTCAAAAATTAAATTTAAAAAAATTAAATTTAAAAAAAACGTTTTTTTTTTTAAAAAATCACTCCCGACTGCTGCCAACAAAAGCCCAACACCTAAATATTAAAAAAACATTTTAAAAAATATAATATAAAAATAAAATAAAAAAATTTGCTTAGAAAAGTTTGAAATAATATCTATTATTATATTATTATTATTACATATTTAGTATAATATAAAGTATAAGAAATCACACAAATAACTTTATTTGAAGTATTATTTATTGTTAATTTGAATTTATTCTTATAACATGTTTATTTAAATAAGAAACTTATGAGCAAAAGATGATATCAAACTATGTAGTAGTTATTAAGAACTAAAACCATAACCGATCCGAGCTCGGTGAAACGCATACCCCCTCCGTTTTTTGCCAACCTGCGGTTGGCAGCAGTCGGGAGTAAAAATAGAAATATACAACGCAGTACTTCGCTGAGCAAAGACTTATTTGAGCGTTTATTTAAATTTTTGTTATTATAGTATTCCATACCAAATATCACTTTCCTAATGCTGCTAAATTCATCTTGTTAAAAAAAAAAAAAGATTTCTTATAAATCCAAAATTCCGCAAAGAATAACACTTTTTTGTTTTCTTTTCTTTTTTACATATTCATCCTTGCCTCTTTTTGCAAACATATAGTTATTTATAAATTTTTTTTTTTTTTTAATTTTACGCAACCGTATTCCATTAGCAAACAAATGTGATCATTAATGCTATAAGAGCATTTCGATAATTATTTCAATATTTTACATAAGTATCTTGTCAGCATATTTTAACTTTTAAGTAAAAAACAAGTGACGTATCTATTATGCAATTTATCTGTATTATTTGATAAATTAAAGATAATCAATAGATTGAATTATAATGATATACCTAATAATTTTGTTAAGCTAAAAACAAGCAAATATTTTTTTCATATTTATATATTCATATGAAGACGTACAGTAATTTTTACAAGACAGTTACATTTTGAAAAATAAGTTATATATGTATTTTAAAAAATTAGTTGTATATGCAGTAATTTCCTGATTATTATATAATTTATAATTTAAATTTGAGGCCAATGTTTTAAATTATAAATATGCAATACATAATAAAGATTATATTATTCTAGCCGTGACTTTTTTTATTATATATAATATTTTCTTTATAATTATTATTTGTATGTGCATACATGCGTATTGTGTTGCCTGTGTTAAATCCTCGAGAGAGAAAAGTGATGTAATGGTTTAACACAATCATTTCATTTAAATGGATTTGAATAGACAAATTTCCACGTTTTACCCTATCGCTCAGTATTCAATGTGAAAATTACATACTATCTCTTACTAGCAAGTCCAAAAATAATTTTCTTGAACCGTATAACAGCTTACAAAAATATACTAAGATATGTGAAAAAAATTCAAGTTTGACATTGATATAGCATAACGAAGTCACAAGGAGAAGCGTATCATAAATTATTCAGAATTTGACGAACATGTACTACTCATCAAAAATCATAAATTTGTGTAATTAAAATAAGAAAGCTTTTTCTTTAAAAATATAACAATAGAAATATGTGAATATAATAATACAAATAATATATAGTGATATACCATACAGGAGTATTTTATTATATTATTTTCATATAATGTAATAATTTTTTTACAGTTTATTATTGACTTGATTAATAAGTTTATTTTATAACTTGCACTAAAGTACATTTTTTTATAATAATGGAAAGAAAATATTTAAAAGATATAATACAAAAACATGAAATAACTCTCAAATTAAAAAAATAAAAATGGGTAAAATGTAATAAAAAATAAAAATGAGAAATATATAATAAAAAATAAAAAAGGAAAATACATAAGATATCTTAAAGAAAAGCTATATAATTTAACATTAGAATTTATAAATATAAACAATGAATCAATAATTGCATCAGTAATACTATTTTAATTAAAATTGAGTGCGAATTGTGTCAGATGGTATGACATCGGTAAAATCTATCAGTTCAGCGTAACTAGATCGTGGATTGACACACGATTAAATATTCTCGCAGGATAAAAATATCCCAAATATTCTACTGGGTCCATCAATTCGATATCCGTGTAAAAGTATCCATCTGCTGCTCCGTTAGAGAAAAAAACGTGAAAATGGGTTTCAGTAAGCCCATATACCTAAAAACACAGCTTATAAATATTTATGATTATATTACTTTTAATTTTTAAGCATTTGGACATTACATTTAAATCAGAAAGTTTACAAACATCTTCATAAATCTGGTTACTGCTAAGAAGTGTGCCAACCGCTACCAAAGGTGCATCTAACAATAAGTCACAATAATGAAGCCAATAATGGATATTTGTTGCGTCTGTTAACACGGTACTCCATTCATGTGGCATAACTGGTGCCTTGCTCTTCCACTTTTCATCACAAATATGCCACCTAAGCTTGCGAGAACAAATATGAAAACAATTGTTTATTTATAGTTTGTTGTATAAAAAAAGATAAAAAAAGGTAAATATTATATTATGTCTCCATATGTTAATTTTTCCTATATACATATATAACAAGAAACTACACTAAAGTACTTTACTTTAAATTTGACGAGATTTTGACGTTGTTGGAACAGATGAAAGTATAAGAGATATGTATTTTTTCAAACGTTTTTTTTTTTCATTTGTTTAGATATAAGAATGATCATCTAAATATATCTTATATATTTGATTTTTTAATCAAATAATCACCAAAATTGTATAAAATACAAAAGATAAAAGAAGTTAGATTATTATATCTCTATGTTAATTTCGGTAAATATGCATATTAGGTTACACCTCACCGATGACTTTGACCTTGATATATGTTGTCAAGGACCCTGAGTAACTTTTCTTTATAACTTAACCGGCGGTCTCTTATAGTTTCTGAGATATTTAAAGTTATGATTTCACAATTTTAATGATTTTTCTATTTTAAAATAAAGAAAGATAAAGGTTGTTTACATTGTATTTATGTAGATCAGACGTGAAAAATATGCGTCCACGCATATACTTCCCCATCCACACAACAATTGTGGGGCGAACTTTGCTTTGTTTTGTAAAGTATATGCGTGCACACAATGGGTTCCGCCCCTTCTACGGGGGGGCTCCACTTCCGGAAGACATAACCTAACCCAAACTAAATTTTAGTTTTAAATCAGAAATAGGTTTGGATTAGGTTATATCTTCCGGAAGTGGAGCCCCCCCGTAGGGGGAGGCGGAACTCACTGCATCCACGCATATACTTTCTCATCCATGCAACAATTGTGGGGCGGACTGTCTCTCTGTCTCTATATTATTACCCAAATGTTAACTTTAAAAATCTCAGAAACTATAAGAGACCGCCGGTTAAGTTATAAGGAAAAGTTACTCAGGGTTATGTCCTTGACAACATATGTCAAGGTCAAAGTCATCGGTGAGGTGTAATCTAATATGCATATTTACCTTAATTTCTCCAAACAAGAAACTATACTGAAGTGTCTTGCTCTAAATTGATGAAATTTTGATGTTGTAGAACAGATAAGATGTGATATATAAATATAGGTAAATAAAGATAAAAGATATATTTGATTTTGTTCGAACAATGACTACTCTAAAGGATGAAAATTATTATAAAATATAAGATTAGAATGTACATTAAATACGCTAAAACTTTTAGTCTTTTGTATTTTACACATTCAAAATGACTGTTAAAATGTTGATAAAATTAGATATTTTGTAATAAAAGTAAACAGAATAGAATTAATTAAACTTTATATTATAAAAACTTGTCATTTTTATTATCAGTTAAAATGCAATAAGAGTATGTAGATTCTTAAAAATATAAGAAACAAATTTTTTAGAAAAACCTGAAAATACGGCTAGCTATAAAGCAAACAATGTTTTATATAAAGTTATTTAGCTTTATACAACGCATCTCATTTTTCATATTACTTTTTGTCAACTAAACATTTTAAATAATTTGTAAGAATTTATTCTACAATTTTTTTATTGTTATTAAACACATGTACATAAGTCAGCTTTGTATATAATTTAACATCTGCATAATAATATTAAAACAATATTTAAAATATTTGTAAAATTAATTTTATGTTATAAAAATTATTCAAAACTCATATCTAACAAAATATTATAACCATTGCAATAGATGCTCTGATTAAAACTAAATAAATTTTATATAAAATAGTTTTTGTCGCTATTCAACTAGCCAAGATTTTTTACAGATTTTTTTCTTCTCTCATAATATTTATTTTTTATAAGTTAAGATATTCTTATATACATATACATAATCTTTTTACATCGAATAAAATAACAAAAGTTTTGTTTCTAAAAAATAAAGTTAAATTATTATATTCTGTCTTTTCATTATAAAATAATAAGCTGTTTAGTTTTTAGCAATTTGTCAATGTGATCACACTATACTTGCAAAGAGGGAGAAAGGGCCTTGACTCTGGTTCAAAATTAGATGTACTGCCTACTAGGCCAATATTACATTTTTCGTACGACAAACTTTTTAAGCATATTGATTGGCTGCAAAATAGAAACTTTCTTGAGTCTCTAGAAATTAGCTAATCAATGCGCTTAAAAAGTTTGTCGTACGACAAATGTAATATCGGCCTTAGAATTGATAGGATTTTTCTATTATAAAAAAAAATATTGGATTATGTATTATTTCTCTCACTAGTTTTGGATAAATACCATTGGAGTATTCCTTAGCAAGTATATACCGTAATGCTGTTAAAAAATGCAAACCAATGCGTTTCTTAGCCCACACTTTAAGAACCTGTCCTAATTTTCCTTCGCTAATGAAGAAATTGTCGTGTGAATAGCAACGAGGATTGGAATCAGTTACCGAGTCTAACGCACATCTTTCCGTTGCTTCATCAAGAAATGCAAGGCAGCTTTGGTTTTTTTATTTCCATATCATCTTTGGTTACTTGTGAGAATGATGCGTTCATAATAAGCTAACAAAAATAACGTTCGTGTAAAATAAATATAAAAGAATGAAACTTTAATATTATAAATTATCAGTGTTATAGCACATAATTAAAACTAATAAATAAATAGAAATCAAGACAAAGCTAAAATAGCAATAAATCATGATGATTAATATTCCATTTTGCATGAAAGTTTCAACAATATACATATATTATACTTCGTTTAATTGAACAGTTGATTGTCGTAGATCAATACTTGATCCAATGATTAAGCCATTACTGGAGTTATTATAAATTTCTTTTATAACTTTTTTAATACTGTATACGAAATTGGATTTCGGGAATGGAAACAGGTACGACATACCACTGATTTTCAAAGTTACCGCATTACCATATAATCATATAAATAAACATTTTATCTTAATGTAAGTTAGACTTTTCTTGTATTTTTTAAATATTTAAAATTCCAAAAACGAATTTCTAAATAATTTCATCAAAATCCGTAAAGGCAACGAAGGTATAGATTGTTGCCTGTATATGTATATGTATTGCTAGATGTCGTGTAAATTCTACATATTTTATATATTTTCGAATACAGAAAGAGATAGAAAAGAATCTCATTATTTTTAATGTCCTTTACAAAAAATTATTAAATTTTTGCTTCCTCATAGAGGAAGATTTGGTTTTGTGACAAAATTTTTTTTCGAGTTTTCTATGCCAATGTGTTTAGAATGTTCCAAAACGTCGAAAAATCATATTCCTAAAAAATGTCTGTATATATGTATGTATGTGTGTATGTATGTATGTATGTATATTATGTTCGCAATATATTGTACAACCTCTAATTTCCGCAATTTTTGAGATATCGGGTTAAATTTTTTTACATGTATAGAGTATCATGCTATAACTTTCAGAAAATTTGAGATATCGGATTAAAGCTTTCTCTATAAGGAAGCAAAAATTGAAAAAACCGCATGCTTAAAACAGCTTAAGCTTTGTAAGATAAAATGATGAGGAAGCAATGTGCAAGTTTCTAATTTGTACAACTCTACTTGTTTTTAGTTCGTATACTTGTACACTCGCTTAAAAATATAATAAATTTTATTCACCTGATGTGGCAAGGTTGAAAGGTTCTTGAGTCAGATCAGAACAATCCACCCATTCGACTGTAGCGTCTACAAAATGGTACCTAAGTCTATTTTGTAGAACTTAATATGCATTAATACATTAATACATGAAATAATATATGTATATGTAAGAAATATATATAATAATAATCGTGTTTTAATTACGAATTAAATAACGAATATTATATATCTACCTCTAGCAAGTTCTTCACGTTCAGGTACAAACAAATCCATTCTTCCCATTGAAAATATTGGAGGAAATATTATTGTTATACGTCTGCATAATACAAAATTGTGTATGAATGTGTATACAAAGCACAAAATCGTTAAATAAGTAGACAATAAAGCTATAATAATTCAAGCATCAGATAATTATAATTTTTTTAATATGGTAGTAAATTTTTAATTATTAGAAAATAGTAATATCGCATAAAAAAATTTTAACGAGCTTCAAAAGTCGATAAATTCACGAGCCTACGTATTATGTTAAATAATTTTAAATTAACGTGTAAGTTTTATGCAAAACTTGTTTCAGAAAAATAAGATATAAAAATATATGTACTTTGTTGAACAAAGTATTTGCAGCACTTATTTAAATTTTTGTTATCAAGGTTTTTAATATTAATTTTCCTAAAACTGCTAATTTCCTCCACTTTGATAAAAAAATTAACTTATTATATACAGAAGTGCGCCCTTTTTGTGTCGCCTTTTTTTTCATATTTCCATTTTTGCCTTTTTTGTTAGCATGTAGCTATTTACGAAGATTTTAATTCAAAATATTACGCAGCTGTATTGCATTAGCAAACAAATGTGATTATTAATGCTAAGAGCATTTTAACAACTATTTTAATAATTTACGAAAGTATGTAGCCAACATGTATTTTAAGATGATAAAAAACAAGTGTGTGTGTGTCTGTGAGATGAGTCTAAATAATGTATAATACTTTTACTTACCGGTATGTATAACAGAGTCTATACTTTATTACATAGATATACGAAGCGATTGACGTATAATAGTAGCCTAGTTAAATTTTGCTAAGAGAAATTATTCTTCTTAGATCCAGTGAGTATTAATACAAAGTACTTTGGAAACAGAATTTGTCGTGTCTGTCTTATCTGACATATAATAAAAACAGACAATGTAAACAAATATAACACCGTAGCTTTTTTTGAAGAAGGAATTTAAGACCAAAATTATTTTATAAGAATCTAAAAAATATTTGAATTTACCAGCCAAAAATATATTATTTTTTAAAAGTTTACATAATGCATTTTTAATAAAACAAAAATACATTTAAAATGTGTTGATTTATAAGCCTGTTTATAAATTAATGATCAAACTGCGATAATAGTACAAAATTTAAAAACACATTAACAGACGATGATCATTTCTATTTTTATTGATATTATGTTATCAAAGACGTACTTTGACGTTATAGATGCTACGCTTCTTAGATCGAATAGATATCAATGTAAAATATGTATTTTAGCAAAAGACCGTTTTATCTAACATGTAATAAAAATAAGCAATGTAGACAAATATAGAACCGTAAGAATCATGAAGAGGTGACTTAGAATCAAAATTTCGTGATATTACAAAGAATGTTTAAATTCACGAATCAAAAATACATTATTTTGAAATTTACATTTTTAATATAACAAAGATATATTGAAAATAGATTAATCAATATACGACTTTATAGAAAATTTAGTTGTAAATTAATGATCAAACTACGATAATCATACAAAATGTAAAGAAACATTAACGGATGATTACAATAAAAAATATTAACAGCGTGCCAATTTATTGATATTATGTTGTCAAAGCAGCAGTTATCTTTAAGCTACCAGAGACTTTACACTATACAGATATACATAAGGAAAAAGAGAACATTTATACAAAACACAAAACATACACAGAATTTAGAGATTTCCGACGAGTATCTCGTACTATTATCGATAAAAATTAAAGTTTAGAATTTATTCTTATATTCTCTTAAAATAGAATGTAATATATTATTTACATAATTATTTGACAAATTCTAAAAAGCGATGTGTATTGAAATAATAAATTTTTCAGATGTTTATTTTTTGTAACTTTTTTTATAACCGATTTTGTATTTTATCGCGATTTTTATACCTATAAAATTATTATTATTATTATTATTATTATTATTATTATTATCATTATTATTATTATTATATATTAATATTATTTTAATACTATGCTATTGTCAACAAAAATATTTACAGAAAACGTTTACATTCTACAAAACAAAATATATCAACTTAAAGAAGTTTACAGAAATTTATTTAGTTTGAAAAAAAATTACAATGTTGGAAATCTTATAAATATGTGTAATATTATTAACGACTGAAAGATTGAAATTCTTTACCATATTATATCACATAAGCATATTGTTAACATATTTTGTTAAATCTTTGAGAAGAAAAATTGATATAATAATGGTTTGATTTAATAATAATATTATTTGAATGGATATACAAATTTTTATATTTAATATCACATCGTTTTAAATTTAATGTAAAAACTGGAATTTTATCAAGCTATAGCTATAAATACACAATGCCTATTTTTTCTAGATTAAAAAAAAATAAAATTAAGAATAATAATAAAAAAATACATAAGATATTATAAGAAAAGAGATAAATTAACATTAAATTTTTAGATATAAACAACGCATAAATCGTATTACCATTAAGCCTATCGCACAATGCTAGGCGATAGCGATAGCGATAGGCAGTATCCAATGAGAGCACTGCTTTTTCGAAAAAGCAATGCTCTCGTTAGATATCGCCTATTGCTATCGCTATCGCCATTACTGGTCTAATTAAAATCGAATTCGAACAATGTCAGTTGGTCACCAGTATAACATTATATCGGTAAAGTCTTGCAGTCCATCGTATCTAGGTTGTGGATCCATATGATAAAACATTTTCGCAGGATGAAAATATCCCAAATACTCCGCATTCGTTGGTTGGATTTCCGTGTGAAAGTGTCCACCTACTCTATTAGAAGAATAGGCGTGGAAATGGCTTTGAGTAAGCCCATATCCCTGAAAATAAATCTTGTAAATACTTATTGAAGTATATTGCTTTTAACTTTTAAGCATTGACATTACATTTTTACCAGCACGTTGACAGGATTTTTCATAATAAGAGCTATCGCTAATAAGCGTGCCAACTGCTATTAAAGGTGCGTCTAAGTCACAATAATGAAGCCAATTATGAATATTCCTCGCCGTTTTTAATTTATCATTCCAAGAATATGGCATGACGTGGTGTCTGGCTCTTCCATTTTTCATCACAAATGTACCACCTAAGCCTACAAGAATAAATATGAATAAAATTCATAATTATAGCTTGTTATACAAAAAAATAGAAAAAGCTAAATTATTACATCTCTATGTTAATTATAACGACAAACTCTACTAATATAAAGTATCTTATATTAAATTTTTGATAAGATCTAGAAGTTATAGAACAGAGATATAAAAATAAAAGTCCCTTTAAACGACCTAATTCGCGACAAAAAAAAAAGAAATCTATTTATCAATATTATGTTGTATTGTATAAAATACAGTAAATATTTTTGAACGTATAAAATATGTACAAATTAAAATATACATATATCAGGATACACGTACAAGTATATACATTAAAATGAGGCATAAAATTATACAAATAGAATAGAATTCTGTTTTGTGAATTTTGTCGCAAATCATAGATTGTTTAAAGAGGCCTTAAAAAGAATATGTATATATCTTTTATAAATGTTTTCCCATTTGTTTAAAAATAGAAATAATTACCTAAATATATCTGGTATATTTGATTTTGGCCGAATAACATCGTAATATTATAATAAAAATATAATAAAACAATACTATAACATGCATTAAATATGCTAAAACTTTAGTCTTTTATGTTTTATATTCTTCTCATTACAAAATAGCGAACTATTTAGTTTCAGCAATTTTTCAATGGTCTCATTCTGTATTTTACAAATATGTATATTGATTCTTGTTCAAAATTAGATGTATTGCCTCTTAAATTTTATAAGTTTGTTATCATTAAAAAAGCGAAAAAATACCTAAATTAAAAGAAAAGAAAGGATAAAATGTTCTTTTTATTTTTAGCTGTTTTGCGACATTCACACATCATGAAAGTTAGCAAAGGGAAATATTTTTAAAGGGAAATATTATTCAAAAATATTTTTAAGTTTTTTGTGTGTCTAATTTATATTTAACTAATATATTTTTTATATGTTACATATATATCGTAAAAGACTATAAAGTTTTAGCATATTTAATGTATTTTGGTATTATTTTATTATATTTTCTATGATTTTGATGTTATTGTGTCAAAATCAAATATACCAAATATATTTAGGTTGTTTCTATTTTTAAACAAATGGGAAAACATTTATAATAAATATATACATATTTTTTAAGGCATCTTTAGGCAATCTATGATTTGCGACAAAATATACATTCCATTATGTAGACTTACTTACCAACCAATTTAGGAGTAATATCAACAGAGTATTGAGAAAGTGTACACTGCATTGCTGTTAAAAAATGAAGACCAGTGCAGTTCTTAGCCTGCACTTTAAGAACCTTTCCCGGTTTTCCTTCGCTAATAAAAAAGTTGCCATGTGGATAGCAAGCAAGATTGCAATTATCAGTTATTGATTCCAATGCACACTTTCCCGTTGCTTGATCTAGAAATGCCAGGCGGCTTTGATTTTTGAGTTTCAATGAATTTCCAGTTGCTCGTGAGCCTGAGAATGACGCGTTCACAAAAAGCTATGACAGAAATAACGTTTGTGTAAAGTAAATATAAAATTATAAAGATTTAATAGCTTACAAAAATAGCAGTTTTGTAGCATAAAATTAAAATTAATAATAAATAAATTAAATAATTACTAATATATAAATAAAAGTCAGAACACAACAAGATAGCAATAAAGCATTAATGGTTAATATTCTGTTTTGTATGAAAATTATGATAATATACCTCGCCTAATTGTTGATTTGATTGTCGTAAACCAATACCTGCTCCGATTACCAAGACATTATTGTAGTTATTATAAAGTTCTTTTAAGATATCTTTGAAATGATAATTGAACATCACTCGCGGGCGTGGAAACAGTTGCGAGATACTACCAATTTCTAAAAGTACCGCATCACCACATAATCCTGTAAAATAAATATTTTATCTTAGTGCGAAATATTTAAGGAATATTCTCAAAATTTGGAAAAATAGATTTTATATACATTTTTAAATGTGTTGTTTGTTAAAAACAGATCTCTAAAAAATTTTTTTATAAAAACTGTTATTTCAGAAGTGGATAAAGCAAACAGAAAATGAAAAACTAAATTCACTAACAAGCAAAAAAAAAGAAAAATTGAGTTTCATAATTAAATTACAATATTTAATTTATATTATTTTAAGCGGAAAAAATCTAATATGCATCGAAGCAGGCCCGTTTTTAAATTGCAAATCGTGCAAAAAAAGAAACATTTTAAAATTAAGAACAGTTTGTCGTATCGGCTTGATATCCTTAATTAGAGTAAGATATATTAAATTGATATTTTTCATGTTACATATATATTTATATTCAAAACGTTATAAGGGTGTTTTTCTGAAAACTATTCTTATACCAATTAACGATTTCTCAAAAAATATTGACCAATTTCAAACTTTTTTTAAATATAAATTACATGTCTGTTGTCCAAACTAAAATTATTATAGCAATTACAATTAAAATTTCTAATAAAAAAACAATATGTGACACTATATATAAACTGTGCCATTTAAAAAATTTTGGAATTGCTTTTATTTTACTTTGGACCATAATTGTATTGATAAGAGTCTTTATTTATTTGCTTTAGACAAAGAAAAGCTGTTAAAATTATGTAACCAATGACTTGTCGTTTAAGTGTTTCCTTCAAATTCATAAAAAAAAAACTAGTTATTTTGTCGTACGTAAATTTACTATGAAAATTTATTAAGTATTAATAATTTGTGCAAAATATTAAAATAATGAAATACTAGATTTTTTGTATATTTGTATATACTCGCTTTATAAAATGTAGTAAATGTTTTTTACCTGATGCGGCAAGATTAAAAGGTTCTTGAGTCAGATCCGGACAATTGACCCATTCAACTGTGGCCTCTGCAAAATGTTGCCTAAGTCCATCTTGTAGACCTTAATAAATACATGATAATATGTATAATATATATATGTAGCAAATGTAAAAAATAGTCGTATTTTAATAACAAATTAAATAACTATGATTATATATTTACGTTTAGCAAGTGCTTCACTTTCAGGTACGAACATTTCCGTCTCTGTTATTTCAACCAAGGAAGTAGGCATTATCGTTATACGTCTGCAAAATGTACAATTTGTGTGTATATATATATATA